CCAACGGAGACGTTAAAAGTTTGCGGAGTCGTATGTGGGCAGGGGATGCCACGCTAAAATTCTAGCTTTCTAGCTTTTGGAGTTCACGAGACAATAATCTCCCTACCAAAACTTTCATGAGGCAGTACGTGGTACCCACGGGTGTGTAAAGGCTGAGTCCAAGAGTCTGGAAACGCTGAATTTAAATTTGCAAGGTCATACGTGGGCAGAGGTCATTACCCTAAAATTTCAGCTTCTTAGATTCCGTGATTCCCGAGACGGCAATTTACCCGCCAAAAGTTTCAGGGGCCGTATATGTTACCCGCAGGCACGGGAAGGTTGAATTTAAATTTGCCGGGCCATACTTTGACGGAGAACACTCTACTAACATTTCAGCCACCTGGCTTTTGTGGTTCCCGAGTTAAAAGTGAGGGACAAAATCTCGGACACACACACACACACACACAAACACACGCACAGACAGCTCCTTGACGATATGCGTTTTGTACTGCTGTTACACCGCACAAAACGCACAGAAGTCGAAAAACACACCTGAAAAACAAATCACGTTGTCAATTGTACAGACACTCTTGAAAGCAGTGCAGGTAGTACTACTTTTAAGTTGGGGTTTCCGTTTGAATGTTCTCGACAGAAATAGATCTCTTTACAAAATTCTGATTCTTTCAGTAGTAAATTGTTAATAGCATGTCTAGCACACCAAAGGGGCATATCATCTTCAGACTGCTTCGAACAAGCATCTATAAAAGAAACTACAAGTTGCCTTTCCAGCGCGTAGTTTCTGCTAGCAGCGCTCTGTCATCCGGACTAATTCCAAATTCCTTCACTTTCATTAAGAGTGTGGCATGAGGAAGTTTGTTTCTGACTTTTACCACAAAAGTATCATGTTTCTAGTTTACCATTGTGGGCGGAAGCTTCCCTGCAAAACAGTGCCGACCTTATTCACTCCAGCAATGATTTGTAGCTTAGGTACAAACCTTCCTAGCATTTTCTTTGAAGCTGTAAATCGTTTCTTGTCCATCCCAGATTGATCGCGGTGGAGGGTGCTTTTTTCTCAGGCGGTACTTCTCAACAGCGCCCAGTTCTTTCTGCCGTCTTTCTTCGTTCTGAAAGTGGGCTTACAATGTTATTTTCTACACGGATCTCAATTGGTTTTCAAATATTCACTTACGAATCCCAACACAAAAAGACTTCATAATCCAGTACGCAAATTCTTCAATCAATTCATTCGTCTCAATTCAGCCCTTTCATTTCTGATTATTTTACCTGCAAACAAGCCAGTAGGCTTCTCAAAAATAGCTAAATAAATCATTTTCTGTTTTGTTGGTTGCAGACAAGTTTTTTGTTAGCATAATTTGATACCTCCGCATATCGTGCTTTGTACCATAAATCTTGCAGTTCACCATAAAATCTTTGATCAAATGTATTCGAAGCTATCATCTGAAAGCTAAAGCTTATGTTAAAATTTTATGCAGTTTTTCACCATAGCTTGAGCTAAACATTCTTAGAAAGCACTTGACTATTATGAGGAATAAAAAGCTATTTTTTCAATTAACATGCAGCGGAACAGTGCAAAAAAGTTGTTTAACAAAATACTTAGTTGAGCATGCAAGTGAATACGCAAATGATTGAATATCTTATGTAAGCAATCAACCTGAAATAATTCTTCATAACGCTTGCTATAATACAATGCATACAGATAGGCACGAATTACGGAACTGGAGTTGTATCGACACCGATAAAACATAACATTATGAACGTTGGGTTCGAATAATTCCAGTAACTTTTCGCCATCACGAGCCTGGTACAACGCCTCACATATACAGTCAATCTAAAAAAAACACATGCTTTATGATAAGTGTGGGAAATTGAAGAACCGAATCGAAGTAGTTTTCATGCAGTTTTGCAAATAAGGCAGTAGAAAAATTAATTTTGGGATTTTTGCTTTGCATATGTTCCTTGCTTTCTTTTGCTGAAATTTCAAGCTTATGTCGTTTTAGTTTCGGAGTTACAGAATTTACCTGAAATTTATGCCGGAGTTAAAGATCAGAAAACAGAACAGCTCGACTGTTTGTTTTGTGCTTGCGGCCTCATTAACGATTCGTGATTTTGCAGGCAAAAATGTTTAACTTCTTAGCTTTGTGATCCGCAGCAAAAATCCGTGGGTAAGGCAAATGGAAATACACGCAGGATCAAGTGCGCATCTGCGCTGTACACA